GCGTGGAGAACTCCTGGTCATAAAAATCGTTTTGGATGCTAGACATTGGTAGCATCTTTTCTGCACCCGGAGAATCTGCTGGCGATGGTGAACGAGTTCCCGCAGATCCACCAACTAGACCTCTACTTCCGCCGAAGCGTTCGCTATCGTACAACGAGGGTATCCCCGGCAGACGCACTCGTCCATAGCGGCCGAGGATGGCGCCATCACAGTCCTCCAGACCTTCCAAATGCCTGCTCAGCGGCCAGCCTCGCGATCCTCCCTTGAGTTTGCCTCCTCCAGCCGAAGATGATCCGGCAGAAGCTGTAGAACTCACCGAGGCAGGCGAACCCGTTCCAGGAGTCTCGTTACTCCCGATAAGAAAGTGAAAGTTGCGATTTAGATGCGGCTCCAGCACTTGAAGCGGATGCATTTGGCGGATGTGCGTCAGCAGCTTCTCAGTAAATGCATCGTGATCCTCTTCTACCTTGGAAAATTTGCGCACTCGCTTCTTGAGCATGGGCGAGGAACTGGCTCCAGTACTGGCTCCTACTCCTCCCAGAGAAACTCCTTGTCCGGTACTGATCACGTGACCAGTCCCTGATGCCGCGCCTTGTATGTACTGTGTCCCCGGCGGCATTCCTGCCAGTTGGACCATTGCACCTGCCGGTAGTGGACCTGTTAGATCCTTGAGAGCTCCAGCCGCTTGTCCGGCGTTCAGATTCGTGCGCCTCGGCTTCTGAACCTCACGTTTGCGGCGCTTTCTTTGGTCACCCGCCTTGGGTTCCATGGTGGGCACGGGAATGGGCATTGCACCCTGTCCAGCAACTGGTACGGGAATCGTCGCATTCTGTTGTTGGTTCTGGTGCAGTTGCTGCTGCTGTGGATGCACGGCCATATGGAGCTGATGCTGTACTTGCAAATGCATTTGAGCGGGTATCTGCCCAGCACCGTGTCCGGAGATTTGGCCGGGAATCTGCCCAGACAGGTGTCCTTGCATCGTCGCCTGCATTTGCGCCTGCATCTGGACTTGGCCTTGGCTCTGGTTCTGAATGGGTTGTGCCTCGTTAGGTCCACTGGATTTCTTCACATAACTGCCAATCGCTGAGATGAGCTGTACTTTGTCCGGAGTACCTTGTCCAGTCGGAGTTGTTGGTAGGGAGGTGCTAATGGGAATCTCTGCCTGTTGCTGGAGCTGCTTTTCGTCCAGTTGTGGGTGCATGGGGAGCTTGCGTTTTTGGGGCTCTCCAGGCTTGAAAGGTATCTTTGTGGTGGCTGCACCCCCTTCTACATGGTTATTGGTCCATTGCGCAGACACAAGGGAACCTCCGGAGTGAGGTGCTACTCCCGCTACAGTGGCTCCCGGTTCCGAATGAGGCGGCGGTTCCGCATGCTCCGGCTGCGATTCTTCGCCCTGCTCCATGGGCAGTGACATAGCAACCACCTTGGGCTTCATCTGCAGTTCCTTTGGCGCCGCTTGTTTGGTGGATATGGATATGGTGACGTTCGATATAGGAGCAGTGGCCATTTCGTAAGGCGGTGGAGGTAGTAGTTCAGCCGGCTTCGAAATGGCATCCGTCACTAGTGTTTTAGCAGCAACTGGTCCTGAGATGAACGACGTCTCCTTGGACACAATCTGCACAGTCTGCTTGACTTGGTGGGGTGACGGTTGCAGCTGCTGCGGCTGGTGAAGTTGCTGCTGCTGCTGCTGCTGCTGCGGAGGCGGTGCTGGTGTTGGCGCCTGGCTTTGGTTCTGATTCTGCATAATTGCTGCCGGCTGATCGGATTTCTGCTCCAGCTTTGGCTCTCCTCCCACTCCTGGTGTGGTAATTGCGACAGCAGTAACCGCTACAGCAGTCGCTATGGCGGTGGCTACCTGTTGGCTGCTTCCTCCACTGGCTGCCGTTGTGGTGGTGGTGGACGTGGCCACAGATCCGCCGCTACTACTACTACCTGCCGCCTGCGTGGCAGTGGGCACCGGAGGAATCACCGGACGCGCCAGTTGATCCTCCAAACTTCTGACCTTCCCCATGCTGGGCGCCCGTACATTGATAACCTTGCGGGCTGAAAGAGGTGCCGTTGCGGAGGCGGAACCAACGTGAGCCGACGTGATGCTTATCTGGTTGAGGGTATGACTGCTGCTGTTGTTTTGGAGCAGCTGCTTTAGAAGTGCATTATCCTCCGCTGCCGAGCGTTGGTTGCTCATAGGTGTGGCACTCACTGTAGGATTGGGTGTGCTGGGATTCGAAGCAGTTGAGGTAGCTGTGGCCATTTGAATTTGATTGGCAGACTGATTCTGCACCTGGTTAATAGGCGTCATTGTGGCATTTGCATTCAAACGCTTCTCCGGCGTGCTGATCTCCTCAACCCGTTCCTGCTCACTGGACGAAGTCCCAGTGCTATCTTTCACAACCGCCTCCTGTTTGACCAGTAGCTTTGCCTTAGATTCGCTGCCAGCTTCCTCCAACTTGACCACGTCTGGGGCCAGACTAACGCTGAGTTTGGTGGGCGTATTGGCGGCCGTTAACTTAAGCTGCATTGAAGCTCCCGAGGTAGCGGACCCGGAGGTTGCAGAAGATCCCGCCTTGTCTGCACTCGAATCCTGAACCAAAGCATGATGCATCTGCAGCGCCGCCTGACTGGCCAACGTGGTTGTGGTTATCATCTTCGGTTTTTGCTGGGCCATGGTCGTCTTGGACAGCACCAGGGATATGTTCTTGTTCTGAATGGAGATTATCGGCCGTGTACCCATCATGGGACTATTTATGCAGATGGTCCCCGCCGAAACCGAAACGGTGGAGGTGGTGGCCAGTTCAGAGGCATTCCCCGAGGCCATGGTAAACGTCACAGGTGTACCTGCTCCACTGCCTACGGCGGAGATTGATTGGCTTTGAGAAGCCTGTGAGTGCTGCTGCTGCTTAAAGATGTTAAAGCTGGGTGGACAATTGAGTGTATTCTTGTCGAGTGGCTTTATCACCACACTGTTGATGTTGGCGAACTCCTCCGGAGCTCCAGTCGCTTCCTGGGATTTGCTCTTGTTAAGAATTTTTTGAAGGTTCTCGGAGTAGGCAGTAATCTTTCGAGGCGCCGGCGCATCTTCTTCCGAATGTGATGCAGCTCCCACAGTCGCAGAATCCTGAACCATTGCGTACGTTTGGCTGGGGTTGGTGGTGGTAATGGTCACTATGCTGCCTGTAGGGGGAGCAAGGCCTCCACCGCTGGTCACCTGCAGCTGCTGAAGCTGCTGCTGCTGTTGGATCTGTTGCTGGTGCTGCTGAAGCTGCAGCATCTTCTTGCTTACCACCTTGGTGGCCACAATTTTGGTGTTCGCCGGCTTGATCTGGAGCCCCGAAAACGAGACAATAGTGCCGCTATTTTTTGGGCCCCGTTTGATAAGTTTGGTGAAATTGTGATGTGCATGCGAATGGACATGTGGGTGCACCTGCTGACCCCCGCTCGGCTGCGCAGCACTCATCACGGTTGTCACCTGACCTGGCTGCAACAATTGCTTGCTCTCTACAATCGTGGCTCCTCCGGCAGTGGCCGCTCCACTAGCGCTCATCAGCGGCTTGAGCAGCGGTACCGATATTGTCTTGTTGCCAATTGACACTTTGGCCGTGGTCTGCGTAACTTCCGACAGCTTCTTGGCGTTAACCACCAGCTGGGTTTTCATCTTGGGGTGCAGATTAACCCGGTTCAATAATGTTGTGGTGGGCGTTTGGCTGCCAGTGGCTGCGGTATTAAAGATGTTGTAGTTCGTGTGACCGGACTTCTGGGTGAGAATTGTAGTGGTGCCGGCTCCAGTGGCTCCTGCCGTCCCGTTGTTAGTGTTCAAAATAATGGTGGAGCTAGCTCCAATAGGCGTTCCTGCTGGGGTTCCCGTTCCGGTGGAGTTCACCACTGTCGCAGTGCCATCCGCGCCGCTGGCTGGCATCAGCACGTAGTCGAGGTCCTCAGATTTGCCTGAGTTTTCAGGATGATCCTGCCCAGGGCCACTGGGCTCGATGGAAATGACAGACGCGGTGGACGAGGATGACGATGCCGACGAGGAGGCGCCCTCCTTTTTGGTAAAGCTGGTAAAGGCTGTGTTTCGGTGTGAAAAAGGGTTAGATTGACTGTTCCTTGGAGTGCTGATTCTGTACTCACTCTGCTTGTCAGCGTCCTCTGCCTTGATGGCACCCATCTCAGTGCCGGAGCCGAAGTTGCACACTATAATCTGCTGATCGCGGGCGTCCCAGACGCCGTCCGTTGACTCGACATCCTGCGGCTCCGAAGCAGCTTTTACCTGCACCTTAGCCTGCTGGCCACTCCGCTGAAAGAGGAGCTGCTGCGGCGCGGTGGTCGACGCTTTGGCGGGCAAACTGGGCGCTGGCGTTCCAGTTCCGAGGAGCAGCTCCGTCTTTGCCTTCTTGCGAGTGGGATCCTCCGCCGGGGTGGCGGTGTCGTCGCCGCTGCGCTTCTGCAGGCTGACCGCATTGAAGGCAGCGGCGGCCACGGATGCTACTCTTTCGGGTTTCGCCTTTTCGGCGGCACCAAGCGATGTTGTCACCTTCGGTATATTCATAACAAACACACAAGTGGAAACGCGGAACGCGGGATGCGATGCGCTGCGTTTCGTGGGACGGGAAGGGCGGCGGTCTAGCTAGCTAGGGCTCGCGCGGCCTGCTTTTTTTTTTACCGAGCGAAAACATGCACGATTTGTCAAAAAAATTTTATTTTCGTGTATGCAGAGCAGTGTTACCAGATGGTAAAACGGCCTTTTCCCTGAAACGGTTACACCCAGCCCTGGTTTTCCATTTAGAAATCCACCACTCTTCCCTTCCCATTCAAACATATCGCCATGGTGATTACAATCGAATAATGTTTCTACAGCTTTAATTTTGTATTAACTACAGTAGTTCTCAATAGCAACAAGTGTTTTAAGTATTAAAATGTGTTCCAAGTGCAATATGGCATTTCGCACATGTTGTTAACAGCAAGACTTAAGCATAGTCTGGACAGGGCCGTCCGCTCATTTGACCAATCGATATCTATCGATAAGTTTTTTTTTAATACCACATTTATTAGCTGGATCTGGCAACGGTGGCCGTTGATGCAACACATCTTTACACAAATTATAAATAAATAATTTATTGTGACATAAACCCGCCATGCTATCACTAAAAACAGTCTCCCAGCTCTTCAAGCAAACCCTTGCGTGTAAGTTGCAGTGGCGCATCGTGCCCAGTCCCATCCAATCTGAGAACAGCTTACATCAAAGCACCTACACTTTCCTTCATTTGCAGCGGGCAACATAGCAATTGTCAACACAGCCGGTCTTAAATACTTCGCCCCGCCGATCAAATATAAGAGTAAGTAACTGCATTCAAATCTGCACAAGAAGCTTAGAGCAATGACCACTTACTTGGAAACCCCCAGATGTGGAACAGCCGGAGAGACCCAAGTTGAGGATCATGGAACGCCAGCCCCAGCTGCCGCCAAACATCCGTCCACCGAAGATGCAGAAACGCCTGCGATACATGCGCGGTCCGGAGATGGTGCACAACACCCTGCTCCACAAGCAGTACGCAATCGTGGCCACTGGCGGAGGGCGTCTGCGCTGGGGTCACTACGAAATGATGCGTCTGACCATAGGACGCAAGATGAATGTCAACACTATGTTCGCCACATGGCGAATTCCCGCGCCCTGGCAGCCGATCACCAAGAAGGGACAGGGCCAGCGAATGGGCGGCGGAAAGGGTGCCATCGACCATTACGTGACCCCAATCAAAGCCGGTCGTGTCATTGTCGAGATCGCTGGCAAGTGTGAGTTCGTTGAGGTCAAGCGGTTCCTGCAGCAGGTGGCCAACCAGCTGCCCTTCCAGGCCACTGTCGTTTCTCAGGAGATGCTCGACGAACAGATCGCCGCTGAGGAAGAGCACGCCCGCCAGAATGAGAACCCATTTACCATGAAGTACGTGATCCAGAACAACCTCAACGGCTGCCACCGTTGGCTCTCGCCCGTGGACCACAAGTGGTTCGGCAAACACCTGTAGACGTACACAGGTACAGGTTCAAAAAATAAAGCAATCATTTGTTAATCTGTTATGAAACTGTTTAGTGTTCCCCAAAGTTACTGTCGGGCTTGGGTACATTAAAAGACTGGCAATATATGGGCCCGGTCCACCCAATTGTGGAGCAAATAACAAAAACGCCATGTGAAGGGAAATGTACGAGTTCTATTGCAAACATTTGTTTAATTTTCCATTTCGTTTACGTGGGTAATATGTAATGCATCATATAATATGTTTTGCTTGCCGTTTCGTTCGCATTATAATAAATGTATAATATTATGCATGTATGCGTGTGTGTATGCTTCGTCGCGGGGTGTGGTGTGTGAGCAATAGCCTTCTCCCACGAGCTTTCAGTTCTGAAAGCAGAACCTTGACCTGCCGCAGCTCCTCCTCGTCTTTGTCAAGTAAAATCAACACCTTCGTTGATCTAGTCAAATTGGGGTGATCGGGAATCCGGAATGGAATCAAAGCCGGTGGAAGAGGGCTATAGTGCTGGGATGGGGATTCGTGTGTTTTGTGTTTTATGTTTTTGGGGTCGAATGGATGCTCGACCCTTACCCTTAGCTCGGCTCGTCTAACAGTCGGTATCGTACCAGGCAGCCAGGTTGTTGTTGTCATTGGGTGGCGTCGGCATGGCGTCCAAGTCGAAGTTCAATGCACCGGCATCAATCTCGCCGACGTCCATGTCCATGGAATAGGGCGATGTGGGTGCGCCGCTGGGCGGAATGGCGCCGATGTTACCACCGCCGCCGCTAGCTCCGCCCACAGCTCCACCATTGCCGGGAGCACCCCCAGCACCGCCACCGCCCACCGGGCTGCTGATCTCCAGACCCTGCATCGAATCTATTGGTAGAGTATCATATCCTGCGAACAAACGAGATTGGCAAAGAATGATAGGAAATATTGTGATTAGTAAAGAGGATTCACAATCTCCGCCAGCCATCAACTGGCAGATGGTGTGACACCTTGAAGTCCTGCAAAAGTGGATTCATTGCTGCTCGCTGTAATCGGGAACACATTTAAAAAGGTCACTTTTACATCACCCTTATTCGGTTTACCCTGATTCAAACGAAATGCAGACTCCACTCGTACAGACGATCCATTTACATTAACCTAAATTTTCAAACAACAAAAATCGGTCGTTGAATGCTGCTTAAAAAAAAAACTAAAATACGGCTAAAACACGCACGACATGGACGCGTTATTATCAATTGGAATTCGTCCTCTTAAATTTGCATGCACACACGGCTTACAAACTAGATATATACACGATAAGATATATGGATTGTGGGTGCCTAAAACTATGCGATTATCGCAGGCTACGTGACATGCAATATGAACCGAACTAAAGTTTATTACTTCTCCTTCGTTGATGTAAAACTTTAAAGATAAAAGCAGTCTAATGAAACAAAACAAAAGAGATGTATACAAAACAATAAATTTGCGAAATTATCAAAGAAACGTATGTGTTTCTTTACTATTTCCGATCCTCTTTTATAAGGTTGCCCTTTGTGGTTATTCGTGGTTGATCGGTGTTCGTGTGTGTGTAGTGCAAAAATCTTCAAGCTACGTGTAAAGTCCGAAGAGACTGAGCTTCTTTTCCAAATGATAGAGCAGGGGGAAATAATCCTTCAAGAGACTGACGTTTATCCCTATTTCCTTCATTTTAACGCAGACATTGTTAGGGATCTGAAGGGCTTCGCTATTGCTTTAAAATTTTGTGTCTGCAAGGAAGAAGCTGATAGACATAATTGGCGCCCAACGTGGGGCCTCAGTTGCATAAGATTTGGATTTATCGATAAATGTACGTATGCCGCAAATGGAAACGGGCGGGGGTATTGTTATATTCACATCCTTTGCATGCAGCTGTGGAACTCAAGGGTTAACGATATTATGGGGTAACGAGCAAGACAGAGAGACAGAGATATTGAGATCGAGCGAGGGAGCTGGGTGGAAGAGGGTTTCGCTCACACTGAAGAAATTAAAGTGAGCTTAACGTCTTAGCTTCGATTAACAAGTGCATATTTGAATGATGAACAGACATGATAACGATTAAATGGATGCGGGGTTTTTGGGGCGGGGCCCGAGGGTTTTTCGAATTGTCTGAACCTGTAAACGTTTCCGTTGGTTTACTTTTTAGTGGGGTTATGCGGGATTCTTCTTCTTGGGGTGTGGTTCGAGGGGTACGATGGGTACGAGGGTCTCTTCTTACGCATATGACATACATACCTTGCTGATGGAATGCGCGACCTCCGTGCGAACTGTGCACGCTGGGCGGACCTTGTCCGTACAGGCCCTCATATGCTTCTTCTGGTCCAAGCATATCCTGTGATCGATCGAATTCGTGTTTGTTTATCGGTCGGTTTGCGTGGTATGTGCGTGATCGTACGTGTGTGGTGGTGTGGTGGATGTATTTTTTACAGTTTCGTTTTCATATTTATTTGTTGTTGGGATGGATCAGAAGTGAAAAGTTGTTAGGAAAGAAGAAGACACGCGCAAACGACAGTTTGCAAGTGAATGTGAGCGAGAGGGAAAGAGAGTGGGGTGGAGTGGTTGTGGTATCGGGGCGGTGAGAGCGAGACAGAGAGTGAGTCGCGTTGTTTGATTGTTGTTGTTGGTGAGATTTTGGTGCAGTGATTATCCGTCATTTCGGTTGTTGTTGCGGTTCATTTACCGTTGCAGTTGTGTTTATAGTGATTTTGTTGTTTTGTTTTGGTTTTACACACACAAAGTAAACATAAAGGAAAAAAAGAAAAGAACAAAAGTAAAACAAACGTGAATTAATTACAAAATCAAAATTAAACATAAACAAAGATCGCGATGTCGCAGCGAATATACAAATTGAAATTCATGTAAGTGTTTTTGGTCGGGTTGTTTTCGGGGGATAAGTGGAGGGGGTGGGGTGGGGTGTGTGGTTTGGGTAGGGGATTCAAATATGATCAGAACTAATCGAAATCCGTATTTGTAATCGGCGTTCATCTACAGCTACCTACTTATCGACTAACATATACGGTCTATCGATTGGTGGTTTACAAGAAAAGCATAAAACCGAACGAAATGAACCCAAAGGAAATGTAAATTCAAAAATTCAGAAATCGTAAGCAAGCGATATATAGGTCGATACTTAATATGGATACCATTATATAATGCTTGACTAAAGTAGGTTCTCTACAAATTTACAATTTTATGTACAGATTTCGCTTCTCGCGCTGCATTTCAAATCAGATTCAATGGAACACAAGAGGGGCGTTTAAAAAGCCGGAATCTCGGAGACGTCGAATTTGTTTAGCCTACTTAGCACGCACCTGCAGATCGGGACCCATGCCCAGGTCGGCATTGGCCCATATGTTGTTGTCCTCGCGCAGCAGCGAGTTGGTCAGCTCTATGGATAACCGCTTCTTGTAATCCTGCGGCTTGTCCTCACTCATGCGGAAGAGAACGGCGGCGGCGTATGTGGCCACGCCTTCATTGCGCGAATGCAGGAGATCGGTCAGCGGCCCAGTGGCGCCCTCCTGCTCGATAATCTCGGCGCCCTCCTTGTCAGCGGCGAGCTCACAAAGAACGCCAGCAGCCACGCGCTAAAGTACAAATGTATAGTTTCACTCATGGTCTCAACAAAAATATAATTCAATCCCACCTGTATGTTCTCGATTTCGTTGAACAGCAAGCGAACGAAGATCGGTATTACCGACTGCTGGCGTATGAGTGCCCGGTTGTGGGACTCACGGGCCAGGATATGTAGCGCCCCCACCGTGCCCTCGACAATCTCCTCCATACGAACGCCGTCAGCGTATGCAGACGGCTGCTGTGAGCCCGTGGTGGCTATCGAGGAACGTTGCTGCAAGGTAGAAGTAATATTGGGATATTACTATTCTAACCAAATATTACTTTTACTATTACAAACTCACCCTCTCTGTGTCTTGGAAGGCTCGCATTAGCAGCCGCACCAGATGGTGGATGGCCCCGTGCTCCCGCAACGGGGCGTGATTGGCCGGACAGAGGGCCAAATTGCGTATAAGCCCAATGACGGCCTTGATCAAGGGCCAGCGTGATGGTGGATGCAGAAGCTTCACAATCACCGATAGCCCGTAGTTAAGACGCACGGCATTCTGGGCCAGCTCCGAGTCCACATGACGTGAGGTCAAGTGACGTAGGGCACAGACGGCCGGCTCGGTAATCTCTTCGCGATCTCCAGCATTGATGATAGTACGGACGAGGGCGTCCACACCGCCCACCTGGCAAACGGTGGCCTTGTTGCGCTGATTGTTGCACGTCAGATTTGAGAGAATACCGGCGGCACAGGTGACCACGTTGACATCGGTCGAGCCCAGAACCTGGACAAGAGATTGAAGCAAAGCTTCGAGGCCCTCCACCTTAGTGGCTGCATCCGACAGGTTGCGGAGAGTCCACAAACAGTTTTGCACAAGACGCGGCGACATGTTACCCAAGTGCATAGCCAGCGCCTGCATTCCACCGGCATCCACGATGGCCGGCTTGTTACTCGAACAAACGGAAAGCACTTTCAGTACACGCGAAGTGGTCCACAGTAGCTTCTCGTAGTCGTAAGAGCGCATGATGCGTACCAGTTCGTTCGGCCCACCGGAGGCAAGGATTATCAACTTGCTCTCCTGGTTACCATAGGCCAGAATTTGCAAGCAATCTGTGACGATAGCCAGAAACTTGACGTTGTTTCGTTGCAGCAGTGTAACCATCTTCTGAAGACCACCAGCCAGGCGCACAGCCATCTTGGATCCATCCTGGTGGAGCAGCAGATTGTGCAGCGTGGTAATTGCATAGAACAACACACTCTCCACTGGCGAGGAGAGCAACTTGACGAGTGCCGGGATGCCGCCACTCTTGAAGATGGCCAGCAGACCCTGACGATGGTGTGATAAGTTGTGCAGCGTTCCTACAGCTGCCTTGGTGCTCTCCAGATCGTTGCTGTTCGAGATGGCACGCACCAAAGCGGCTACCATCTGGGGGCTGTTCATTATGGCGTGGCGCGAGGCCTCCTTCTTGGACAGCTGGTGAACCATCATGGCGGCCTGGGAAACTACCACCTGATCCTCATCGTTCAGCAGCTTGATTAACTCGGGTATGGCCCTGGTTGCCAGCTCAGCGTCGTCCTGGTAGTTGATCAGATTGACCACCGCGTGCTTTAGCATTTGCGACGGCTCCGAAAGACGTTGCACTGCCGTCGGCTGTTGGGGATCAAACTGGGTGGAGGGAATCTCAATGCCCTCCTCCAGGGTTTCCGGAAACATGGCAGCACGGACACGTTGGGAGCGAGTCTGGCTGAGCTGCTGGTTCATATCGTCCACTTGGTCTTGTGTAAAATTCTGTGGGAAACCGGTGTCCAGGTCGAACATAAGCGGATCTCCCTCCATCTCCTCGTCCTCCTTGCCAGACAGCGATGGCACCTGGGTCACGGCACCCGAGTGGATGCCGGAGTCGCCCAAGTATGAGTTCTGCTGCCACATGAGGGTCTGCTCCTTGGCGGACACCATCGGCGGCAGATCAGGTGGATTGTATTGATTATTATGCGACACTGCAAAAGATTGATTGAAGAACGTTTTAGAGTGGATCACAAAAATATACAGTCTAGCTTCCCTAACTCGAATCACTGTTGCGTTTCGATTTTGCCATTTCCATCGCAACATATTCGTGTTATAAAACTCCAAGAAAGCGGAAATGAAGTGTAAGAATAATCCTTCCTCTTATTTTTTAACCTGTTTACATCTGCCTATACATTAATGATAACTTTTCTTTCTTAAAACCTTTTGAAGTGGAAAAATGACACGGGAGAACGGAAAACTGAGTGCAGCACAGCATACACATATAATGCATCGAATTCGGATGCGGGGATGCACACACTTTAACCCTCTGCAACCCATTTGCATGCCTTCTCCTTAAAGGATGGCCAAATGGTAAACGACAGCGACTGACAGCAAAGTGAGCAGCATCCCAACTGCCGCCGCAAAAAAAATGCAAAAAGGAAAACTTTGAAGCGTGACAAATTGAACGCTGCAGGATATGCCCACAAAGTTCAGGGCGCTGGACGGAATGGGTTTGGTGCAGGGGGTCAGATCGTCACACATGAGAGGGTACTGGCAAAAGGATTTGTGGGCGTTTTGTTTGCCACTTCAGTCTTAATTATGCTGTTCCAGGCCCAGCTTTTCGCCTTTGTTGTTTTACTTATGCGCGGACACAGCACGGCCACGCCCCTTTTGTATGCATTCGTAATTTCAAACTTCACTGCTCTTCGCCATCCACTCTTTAATACTACAGTCAAATCTCAATAGATCGAACAAGCTGCTGAATTAAAGTGACTCCATGAAACGGACTCAATGAATATCAGCATTAAAATGCGCTAGTAATCTATGGACCAGATTTTAAAATGTGATCTCTTCACCAAAAAGGTGTAGCCCACCAGTTGATGAATTTTGTTCGCTTTAGGCACATGCGACTGTAATCCCATTTCGTTTCATTTCCCAAATCGATTAAGCGCTTTTTCTTCGCTGTATCCCTCGAGTGGGCCACGCACTTGAATGGAGTACTGCTGGAATGGAATTTAATTGCAAGTTGCCGCTTACTAATTAAATTCTGCATAGCAGCAGCGCCGGAAAAAAAGCAAAGGCAAAAGCAAAAGCCAAGGAAAATGTGCAGCCCACTTGAGTGCGAGTTCGGAAGACGGAGAACGAGAACAAGGTCCCCTGCAGAAGAGCAAGGAGCGAAATCGAGTGGGTGGCATGGGCTGGAGTGCCACGTGCAAGTACACGAGTGCTCGAGTGTGTGTGTGCGTAAGTGGGTGGATGAGGGAGGGAATAGAGTTTCAAAGGACTGTGAGCAGCGGCCTACGAAAGGCGTTTTCGGGGTAGTATAGTAATTAGTTGGAAACTAAATGAACTGAATATTTAATAGTGCTCGAATTGAAAGGCCACTTCCTAAATGGCTTTGCACTGTGAACTACTGCCGTGTTAGTACGAGTATATTGACATTCCTCGACTTTCTGTGGCAAAAGTGATAGGAATTCAATGAATCAGCAAGTCAACATGCATTAACTAGGTCCTCCCCTTCGATGAAGTCCTTTCGTGCGCCTCTGAGTTACTCACCAAAGCACACTGCAAACCAAGTGGCAAAATGGAGTGCGGCGGCGGGGTTCAGGACAGAATCTTTTTTCCTACTCCGTTTGCTGCGTCAACGAAAAATTTTAAATTTCAAACTGCAAAGGAGAAGGAAGCGCTATTTCTGATGACTCAGATAAGAGCACAGCGTGCTGGTGGTTGATAGCCGAACAGAAAAAAGATCATCAAGCATTACAAGTATGTGGATGTACACAAATTATTCGTCTGGGGTGGATGGATATAGTATTTACCCTATATACTGCAGAGAGCTAACAAAGGGAGCATCAAAAACAAATGGTAAAAGCAAATACTTTATGTCACATTTGCCAAATTTGTCAAAAACAAGCATCGCTTTCTCAATTATCTTGGAGAGGGGTTGTTATTGTATTGCGATACGGGTATAATTGTTTTTCAGAAACAATGCTCTGCAGCATCCCCTTCATAGGGCCATGTATTTTAACTATTTATCCTAAATGTTCTAGACTATAGAGCTTCCATGATGTAAATGTGTCTATTGAAAGGCCGTATCATCATTAATTTGATGAAATCGGATCCTGTATTCAACTCAGTTGTATATTTGTCTAGGGTATACAAAGAGCCCAAACTGGAACTGGTGATACACAGTTTACTTGGATGCTCTTTGCATACGCCCTGGAAGATGGGAACGGGAAGAGTACCGCTGCTGTAAATACTTACTGGTTCGATTCTGGGCTGGCATGTAACTCATCTTGGTGATTGAGGCGCTTTACACCACACCTGCAAGAAAGAGACGGAGAGTATATGAGTAATGTGCTGGACAGTTAACATGGAGTTCGTGTGTGTTGCGCGGATGGAGACCACGAAACTACAGTAAATGAGGGGTGCCGTAAAGAAGTGTTTCCAGATTGCTCCTAAGACGCAGGTATCGCCTGCTAGTCACTTGTTCTAGTTGTTGGTATTTTTCTTAAACTCATTTCCGCTTTGAGATGCCGCAGCAGAATACGAAATATGCTGCGTATACCAAACAAACGCACTAACACATTCTCACGCAGGTAGAATGGGTATTTGGGTGAGTGTGTGTGTGTGTCTACCTGCCGAAGACTTTGGTCACGAACCTTGAGTTATTTAATTACTTTGTTTAGCACTCTTTCAAATCTCATGCACTCAAACAAAAAACAAAAGGGATTTTTCACTTCTCTCGAATAAGGCGCAGCGGAAAATGCGACCGACCAGCACGCTCGTTTAAACGGAACAGAATCGAGATGCGAAGAGCGCAAAGCAAAGTAAAGCACTTGCAACACGGCGCGTGCGGAGAGCGGGAAAGGGACAGGGAGAGGGAGAGAAAGTAAAGGGCCGCGGCAGTGCAGCATACAAATGCAGTGCTGCGCAGAGTTGCCACACATCCGAACGATTGTGCATACACACACTCTCGGAGGCAGCTCAGAAAGAATCCCAACTACATTTCAGTTGCCGATTAGATAAAACACCTAACGATAAGCCCGCCTTTAGTTTCAAGAAAAAGGATTTCCTGTCTGCGGTATTGTTTACATTCCAGCGACCTACCAAACAAGCGCCCGATTTACGGGGAGAATACATAAAAATGCCGTTTGTGTGTATCCAGCTCATACACACACACACACAAGCGCACATCCAGCAAACCCCTGCCCGCCCCCGCGCCTACTTGTTTGCCCTGGCTTTCCAGCTTTCATAGCACACAGAAAATTTGCTTTTCCAAACGGATTCACTGCCGACTTTCAGTACTCACCGCGTCCAAGGAATTTAAGTCTGCTTTAGAGCAGGATTTATTTATTTAAAACGCTATGAGAAACAAAATAACAGCGAATTGTCTCCTCAAGAAAAACTGTGTATATGGCGACGAAACCAAACTAGCGATGGCCTGCTGCTGTCCCGATAACTCGATAGGCGCAGTTCGATAGGTCAAAGGAATTTTTCAAATGTTTTTACTTCTGAGAACACAGAAATCTCGTAAAATGTTTATGGCATTTCATCCATAAGAAACCCAATACACAATAGTTATTATTTAGACAATGCGAACGTATTTCCAGTTCAGCCTCATCCTTGTTATCTTGAACTCACCGTTTATCTTGTATAAACATTTACCAACACAAGCACCTGATTGTACATGTGGGTGTATGACAACACAGGTACGTGCAAGAACTAAATTTTTTGGGTGTCGAAGTGTAAAAATGTCTATTACTTCACTATTACTTACCGCGTCAGATGTAAATTTGGCTGCTCAAAGGCAGGTTTACGCACTTTTAACGCACTTAAATATTTAAATTCGACAAAAACCCCCGACTATGAAGACTGTGTATATAGCGAAGAACAGATAACCGATAACTTCTCTAACGCCGTGACTGCCAACTTGCTTAAAAATAGAACAAGGCGCACTTTTTCAATTTTCGAAAGTATTTAAACACTGGTCTTTAATCATTTAATACCGATATTAGTGTGGCAAGCAATATTGGTTTATGTAGTCGTAGGAGTAGGTTCATTGGTTATGGTCCCAGAGGCTGGCGGAGGATCGATGGCCTTCCGTTGATCCCTAAAGAACTTGACCCATGCGCTCTTGTGGAGCTCCATTCCATCACAAAGGCCATACACCTGGGCAAAGCCGAAATAAGCAGCAACAGCGGCGACACCAAAGAGGGGAACCATTATGGCTAGTCCTCCCAAGCAGGCGAAGAACACCATGGACACGATTGTCAGGAGTGTGCCTAAAACGAGGCTATTAGAGCGTGATCTCAAGTTAACACCACGAAACGCACCTTCTAGTACCAGCAAACCAGTAAAGGTCATAACCATGGTGGCTATTCCAAATCCAAAGATTATGAGGAAGGGTAGCATGAATACAAGACCGCCAGCCAGCAGGCAGATGGCAACGTGTGGATTCCGGGTGCACCAGGCCGCGATGGCCTCCAGGAAATCCTTTCCACCTAGCTCGGACATTACAAATTCTGCCAGGCGGCGCAGTTGAAACCCTGCATGATGGAAACGTTATAAGAAAGACAGTTTCAAAGTATTAACGCAAATTGTAACAATCTGAGATGACTCTGAACATTAGCGTTGTGATATATAAAACAGGTTGACAACCGTATAGAGCAGTATATATGTAACTGATTTTGGCAATTAGCAATTAGGCACTTTTAATACACTTTTAATACTTTAACTGGTGGACATACACGACTTGTAGAGGGTCTGGAGCAAGCTCTCCAGGAACTGGTCAACACTGAGGATTCCTGCACTACGATCGTCTGGAGCTTGTATCTTTACGTGTTCCGGTTTGCTCTCTGTTCCTGATCCAGCAGTCCTCTTGGCGTTTGCTTCCTTGGCTGCTTTGCGAGCCTTGTTCGAGTGAGCCTGCGAATTCGATCAAATCAGATCAATTAATAATATTATGTGACGTAAAGAATATTAGTGATTAGGTGCCGACTGCCGCTGAGTCCGTGAAACGCGACCTTTGACTTGCGATGCCGATTCCGGGCGAACTCTACGGATTCTTCCGAAACCGTCGGAACTCCAACTTCAAACACACCCACCATGTTGCGTGGCTACTGCGAGAATCTCAGGCGGTTACTGTGATCATTACAGGAGAAGGAGTCTGTTGAAGGTTCATTCGCCTGGTTGAAACAACAGTAAATGAAAACAATATAAATAAACAAAAAATAATCGATGTCGTAGCCCTAAAACACAATCATCGATGCAGAGTTGCCACACTTTTTACTAAATTCAAATGAGACAAAATGAGTTTTTTTAATAACGATCTAATGTGGCTTAGATTTGTATTTTAATCATTATCGCTCTGTTTTAAACAAATATAAACACTATGTTGCACGCAAGATTAGTGAAGCAGGAATCTGAGCCCGTTAAAAGGAGGTCGCGCCGTAATCCTCTCCGCGATCAAGCGCTCCCCGTGAACAGTCATTCCGCAGCGCAGCTTTTTGGCATGCAGAAAGTTCAGTTCGGCGGCCCGCTCTCCACTTTTGAGCGGCAGCCAGCCGTACACCTGCGATTCCAGGAGGGGAACCGCCTTTGCCAGCTGCCTCTGACGCTCCAAATGCTTATCGGGCCAAGTGTGCCGTAGGTACCTCAAGGTATCCGACGGCTGGCGTTGCTCGTACTGGGCGTAAAACTTCCGTGTCAGCGGATAGACTGGAAGTCAGGGAAAGATCTCATCATTTGGGGCATTGGGAGAGCTCGAGGACCCAAGCGGTAGTGGAAAAAATATTAAAATAATATAATATAATCACATATCAAACGATCAAAGCTTAATTTTTACAGGAGCGCTGCGATGCATTGAGCTAACCAAAAATCTCTGTCATACCTTGACTCACTGGGACAAAGGATTCGTAAAGTCGGATGTGTCTGTTGGATCTTTGGATCAGCTCCTTTTCGAAGTCGTACGGCAGCGGCCGGGGATCCCCCTCGCGATGATCTGGCGCGTCTCCATTCTCCTCGCCCTCGTCGGTGGTTTCGAGACCCGGTTTCATGCTCCTCACGTTTACTTTCCTGCCCCCGAAGGAGAGATCTGTTTACGGAAATCCAGGCAATCCGTCCGCAACGCGTGGCGTGCTCGGTTCGTTTGACTGGCTGCGGACTACGCTGCAGCAAGGACACCTGTCCGTCCGCCCGACAATCCGTTTGCCTGCCGCCTGCTGCCTGCCTGGCTGTCTTTTTGTTTTGGCAGCAACTTGTACTCATTAAAGTTTTCCCATTGTTGCTGCATGGCAGGCAACGTTACCAATACCGTACACGCATCCCCACGACGCAACCCACGGGGCCCAAGGAGTTCCTGCTCCCAACTCCCGGGGGTGTCGATGGTATAGTGGTGTGACCCACAATCACAGTTTCGCCAACGTCAGAGGCGCCTGTCGGGCGGACTTCCCCTGCAGTTGCTGTGGGGTGTCCACGATGTGTGCGATTGGGTCAGGAGAAAGTAAAAGGAAGTCGGCCAGTGATGAGACGGAGCACGGGTACTATTCAAGATTGGAGTGGATTGAAGTATAAACAAGGGTACCGAAGGTGAAAGTTGCTAGGTTTTCTATGTAGCCACACACCAAAGTTCATCGAGTGACATTGGGAATGATCTAGCTTGATAAAGGCAAAGGTCTTACATTGTTAACGATATGGGCTTACTATGCCTTCGCATCACTGCTTCCAACACTGAAAGGTTGGCTCCATTCATGTCGTTGGCGTAATTTGGTACAAGCCCAAAACCCGAATCCTTGAAGTAAACAGCAATATCCGAAAATAAACCCATTGGAGCGATTGCCTTTGCGTGTCCAAACAATCGCAGCCACAAAATTATCTGGGGGCGGAGGAGGTGGTGGCCACCACATCCGGCACTTATCCGCCGCAATTCTCAACATTCGTTTCGGGTTGTGCAACTCTCTCGAAGTCGTCAATTTCAGCCTAATCGAATATAATTGAATGCATAAATACGGAAATAAATCAATTTAATTACAATACAGCCAACAACAGTCATCGCAAATAGTTTACATGCACACAAACACTCGAACCATAAATACGATTATTACATAGTACATCAATGGTAATGTATTGAGAAAACCTCAAAAAGTTGTCGGTTTATATGCTAAATAAATTAATTGCCGGGACAAGTAGGACCACTTGAGGTTTGGCACACTAGAGGGGTATTCGCACTTGTTCGTAAACTATAATTTCTGTGGTGGGAAATCTTAGGTAGTGCTGCTATGCTAACTAAGCTATTAGAAATCGCTGCTAGGATTTAGAATAACATGATTGTTCAAGAAGTTGAAGTCACAGGAATGGTATGCTGGTATGGTATTTATATTTAGCCTACAATTTAAACAAAAATGTAAGTCCAGTTGTAAAACGTTAAAAAAAAGTAAGCGTTATATCCAGCGCTACAAATATCATAATCGGTAACATTCCGGAGAGCCGTATGAGATGATGGTTCTCCAAGTGAATTGAGGTAAATTTTGCTGCCACACCCATTTTTCGATCGCCAATGATTAGGACCTCGAAATCATCGGAAGTGGTGCAATTGGAAATAAAATCTGCGTGAGACTTATCTACATATATGGTTGTAAATGGTTGCCCAGTCACCAGAGCGAATACCCCTAAGTAACTAAATACATATCTACAGATCAGTCGTGTTTAGCTGGTGAGGTGGATGCAAAGCTACAGTGCTTCCGGATAAAAGTCCCGATAAGCGAATCCCTCAATGTACTCCGGCCTGTGGCAGGCGAACAGATGGTGGGGCAACTCCTTGTGGGCGTGCTTCTCCAGTGCCTTGCGCGTCTTTTCCAGGAGCAGGGCCTCGTCAAACTTGACCCGCTGCACGGTGGTCTTCCGCAGGATGGTCTGCACAAACTGTGACCACACGGAGCCCGACTCCTCTTGTCCCAATCCCGAGCCGTTTTCGGCAAGCTTTCCTTTTTGAATTTGTTTCGACTGCTTTGCTTCCTGGCTCGGCTCCTGCTGCTGTGCCTTTGCCGTCATCTGGGCTTGGGTTTGAGTGTAGACTGTGGACGCATCTGCTTTGGGGGCCTGGGAGTCGGCAGTGGCCTCATTCTTCTTGGTCTGCGGAATGTCCTGCATGAGCGTCTGCAAACGGTCCACTGTCTCCGCCATTCGTTTCCGAAAATCCACTATTCGACGGGCGTAGCTGAAGAGGGCTCGCTCGTCCGCCAACTTAAGTGGCCTCTGCCGTGCTTCCTGGCTTACTTCTGCGGCTTCCAATAGTGGGTGAATGCGTACACCGGCCTCCGAAGTGCCACTGAGGTAGATTCGGATAGCAAATTCCTGCATGGCCGTAGTATTGACCATGGCTATGGCATAAGCATTACGTGCTTTCAGAATAACTTCTCTTATATTAGCCAACTGCGGCGAGGACGCATTGGACACTCCCGCATCAATATCTTGTGGATCCATATGCTCCAAGTGAGCCGACTTATCCAGGCTGTCCAACACCTCTGTCAAATGGCTGGGCATCTGGTAACTGTCCGCCTGGAAGGTTAGCAAGCCCAATCCTTGAATCAGTCGGATGTTAGCCACATATTGCTGCTCCAGTTCGTACAGCTGCCAAAGGGACCTCATTCGAGACTCATACTCTTTCTGGGCACCAGTGCCCAGTACACTACTCATATTACCATCGTACAGTTGCAAGCCCCGTATAAAGGCCACATCCATGGTATAGTTGGCCATGAAGGTCCTTACATAGTTAAGAGCCTCGGAGGCGCTTGCGAAATTCTCCCGTCGCTGCGCAAAGAATTCATCCAGATCGCTGACGGTCAACTGGTTTCGTGTCACCACGGTTCTGTGCAGGCTCTCGTTTATCTCCCGCTCCTCGCGTATCTGCTCGAAGTTGCTCACCAGCAGATCGCCGGCGGGCTGGTGAAACTCGTCAAACACCTCGATATCTACGGCCATAGTAGTGGTTGTGCCGGATTGCTCGCGTCCCTGCTCTTTGCCAGATTCCTGCACCTGCTCATTCTCCTGTTCATTCTGATAAAACTCGTGGGTCTCTAAGTGACACTGAGGCACCCACTGCTCCTGAACAGCTACTTGACGCTTTTTGCTCCTCTCCAATATTGCCCGTGGACTAAAGCGCTGTAGATCCAGGGAGGTGTAAATGTCATCGTTATGGGCATGGCAACAGTGGAGGGCTGACATGTCCATGGGATGAGCCTCTGTGTTAAATATGTAGGCCCCGGCCTGTACCACGCACACATCATCCTCGGTGGACAGCAGCTCGCCTCCAGACCCATCGTTGTGCAGGAAGTTTTCCTCGTCAAACAGCAGATAAAGGTACTTGCTTGTTTCCGCCAGGAAGAATGACTCCATGCGATTCTCCTTTTCATGGGTGACAACATTGCGAATCTGGAAAATTAAGAAACCAAATAAATTACAATTACAGTTTAAAATCCTTAAACAGCTTGTTCACAAAACTTCTTACCGTTGCATATCCACATTTGGTTTTGGCACTGAACTCCAAGGTCTCCAACATGTGCTCACCAAACTCCAGGAGGTACTGGTTTCCTGTGGCTCGGTAGAGATACATAGCTGACTCGATCAGCTCCGGTCGCAGGGGGTAGACCTCTCGATTCGGCGATGCTTCTCCAGCAGCGATGTTATAAAACTCTGGCAGGAACCCGTACTTCTTCCAGACTCCAATGTACCTTGAGATGGTGCGCAAGGCCGGCTCCGTGTCGCCAATTATGCTCAGGATGCCGGGCCAAAACGCCTCCAGGGACTGAAAGACGGGAAGGGTGACGTGGCCTTTGTTCATGCCTACCCACACATACCAGTCCTCCTTGCGCATGTACTTATCAATAGCCGCACGAGCCTCGTGAAATAACTCCAATAGTTCCGGACGATTGAGCAGGATAGATGCCTTTACCAGGTATTCAAAAAGCGAATCCACTCCTGCTCCGATTCCAGAGTCTAGGGCGGTCCAACGACCGCTCTGGACGTCGATGTGATTGCCAAAGAGTCCAATCGGCGAGCGATATGCCCATAGAGCATGCACCGCCTGCATAGCAACCTCCTCGTAGATGCTGTTCCCAGTTAACCGGCTCAGGGTGCCAAATTCGATGAGGAATGTCCCCACGCCCGCCGTGCAGGTTACAGAGGTCTCCCCCTTGGGCACGCCATAGCGCAGGTTCACCGTGCCATAGGGCATCCCCGTATTCGTAACAAAGGCTGGCAGCAAACGTCGGGCCACATCCTCCGCTAGTCGTAGCAGAGGTCCCTTGCAGGGCCATCCTTGCTCTAGCTCTACGCCAGCCCGCTTGGAGAGCAGATGCGCGGACAGTAGTCCGCCCACGATACGGATGTTCGTCTCAAACACGGACACGTTGATGTCCCGGTCGAAATCCATTTTTTCCTCGAGCAGTCGGGCCGCCCGGCGGAATTCCGTGAAATTGCCCATGGTGGCCAGTGTGTCCAGGGCGTCAATCAGGGTCAGGGAGTAGCTGCCCCAAGTGTCGTGGCCGTCGCAGGTCAGCGGACGCAGTTCATCGTAGTTGGAGGCGTGGCGTAAGTAACCATCGTAGGCGTGCTGGAACATGCGGCGCACATCCTCCCTGCAAATTGCAGTGCCGGTTTGGATTAGTATGTCCGAGTTAAGCTCTTGCAAAGACCCACCTCAGCTCCAACTTTCTCGCCTTGGAATACTGCTTCTGACCGGTGACACCACCGGTAGGTAGTAGGAGGAGTCCCAAGCAGATGAGGGTGCATGGATAGCCGGTGTTTCGGGTTTGCTGCTTCATCGTGGGACAGTCAATCAATCAGGGCCGCTAATTCAATTATGGGCATGGTCAGTGTTCCATAGCCAGCGTGGATGTGTGGAAGTCAAATGCGGCTACGTTGTCGCAAAATCACAACAAGGGCTGTTTCGGAAGTGGCACCGACCATCGAATACGCTACGCGTTTTCTTTTGGAGAGTGCTTTTAGACAAGCAAAGGGGCGATAGAGCACAAACAAAAGGGCTCCTTTCAGATCACGTACAAAAACGAAAATATTAGCATACACTTTGATGTACGTAAGTAGATAAGTACGTAAATTGTATCCGACACAGCCGCCAACAATCGGATATGCCATGCCGTAGAGTGCAATCAGCTGGTGCTGATCGAAGAACTATCGGAAGGGTGGTCAGATCGCATTTGGATGGTGGCCACCGCTTGTACAGGAATACAACAGTCAAGAACGTCCAAAAAATCAGCGCGGCAGCATTGATGGCGGACTGGAAACATTAAACGGCAATCAACTTAAGATACCAGCAAGTTCGTGCTGAAAAAAATACCGATTGTTTGTGGCTGCTTTGCGCGGCACGCGCGCCTTTTATTCTTTTTTTGCGCCAAGTTGGCAGCACGAATCAGTGTTTTTTTTTGTGGCCATTCAAAAGTGTGTGTTTGTACGGGTAAAAGGTGTTTTAAATTCAAAATATCCAGCGAAACGGCCGCCCGCAATAGAAGCAACTGTACCCAGTGGTAAGTAACTACCTTCTGCTCCTGTTTCACACCCGGACATCCTCCGGATAAGCTGACCAAACAAGTCGCAGCCTTTGTTACGCCTCTGACTGCGGATTGCCTTTCTGCCGATGGGCAGCGATGGTTTCTGTTTCGGTTTTGAAATATACTTGACGGGGGAAAACTCTAAAAGGAGGTCCATTACTCTCCCGCGGAGTCAGTGCATCACGACCCTTTGTACGCCGAGGAAGGCGTCCCTTTAAATGTAATCGCGTATGGTTAATTGTCCGTTGGGCGAAAAGTAACAACATTGTGGGACAAAACGTGCGGGATTGCTTCTGGCTGACCAGAAACCACATCGAACCCGTCCGATTGACCAGTAGACATAAGCGTGTGCCTTTTGGCGACTAGAAATCGTGTTTCCATCCAGTTATTTGCATATTTATAAACAATTAAAGGAAAATATTAAATTTTTGGGCCAGGGCTGTCGCCCCTCGCATGGCATCGATAGCAGAGCGCCCGAAGTTACGGTTGCAACCCTGTCCGCTCACGCAAACCTATCGAAAATTTTTACCCCACGGTCGATAAAATATTTTCGTTGCTTTTTTTCACAGTCGTGTACAAAAAAAAAATATAGGAAATAGCAAGTAAATCGAAAATACAGTGGAGTGTTTTGATCCCGTGGAGTGCAGGTTCCAGCGGAAAGTGTGTGCAACAAATATGAGCAGTACGCAAAAGTGGCCAGCAAAAGCAATAACAAAGTAGCAACAGCAACGCAACGTGTGTGTGTTGTAAGCAATCTGTACAGCGGAAAGGTGTTGGTGTGTTGGTGTGCTCGGGGGGTGGTGTGCGTTTCGCCCGTCCCGTGTCCATAAATTAGAACCGAACCGAATCGAAATCGACATTGAAGTCCGCTGCTCCGCCACCGCGATGTCCGTCGACCAGGATCAATAAGCACCGTCACCACCAGTAGCTGACCATCATTAAGTTCTCCATATCGAGAGCAAGCTGACTCGGGACTCGGAATTGAATACGGATTCGGAATTGGATTTGGAATCGGATTCTATAGCGGAGGAATCACGCGCGGCAGTCAGCCCAATACGGAAAACTGCTGAAAAATGTTAGCTAAATGCCCAGTTATCTACAATTATTGTGGCTTGTCCCTGTGTGCGTGCCTAGTGTGAGGGTGTGTGTGCGTGTGCGTGCGATAGCAGAGGCAAAATCCGCTCAAATTGCGATGCCAAATTGTCGCCCAATTAATTGATCTTTCAATTGGCGACAGCGGGCGCCTTCGCATATTCCCTGTTCGGCACGAAACCCGATATACATATGCATATCCGTGGATCGCTTCTCTGGTTTTGCCACTGTCGCCCACCGCACATATTGTATAACCCTTGTTTATCTTTGGACATTCCAATTCCGAGGTGGAGTGGAGTACAGTGGAGGCTGGCCAAGGTGGACAAACGTACAGTTATGGTGCCGGGGGCTGGAACGAATGTCACCTGTCAGGTGGCCTTATCTTAAGAGTTTTGCAGCTCACTCCGACTGACATATTCACTTACAAGATAGCAGGGGAAAAACCTGTAAAGAATTCACTAACACGATAAAGTCAGATTTCAGAGGATTGATACATAAATCATTATCAGTCCAGATAGCTTGCTCGCAAGACTCCAGTCTGTAGCGTTACCTCTTAATCTGTCCACAAAATTAGGAATTTCTTATCTTATCGTTTACTCTAAGAGAATATTTGAGATGAATTTTTTTAAATACTTTCGTATTTTTAACTGAATTTATTATAGCTCCTCCCATAAATTTTTTTTAGCTGTATAGATTTATATTATTTATTTTATATTTTATATTTATATAGATTTATAGATATGTATAAAAAGTCTCGCCAAAGGTAGAGTTTTTTTCTTCAATCTTTCTTATAATGTTTACACATTGCATAAGTTGTAAATGTAAACCTCGCTTAGTTAGATTTCGCTTCTTGCCAAAGAAAGCGAAAAAGTCTGTTTAAACATTTAACAGGAAATGAGAATCGGAGCTTGTTTAATAAACATTAGGTAACCCAAAGGGGTACCCTTGGGATTCTTCCTTTCCAATAAGAACGCCATATGCATTCAATTCATATTGAATAGGTGTGGGCTGTAGAGCACTAATAGCTGCTTGGAAACGAAGTGAAATAAAATGATAAAGAAAAATCAAAAGTTTAGAAAGACCTTGGGTGAGTAACTGATTAGCAGCTTTCACTGTACCATCCACGCACTCAAACCCGATCCAAACTAAAGTTCTTACGCACACAGGGGCCACCATCCATAATCCGCATCCACTAGGTGGACGTGAGCAAATGTTTACTCAATAACAATTCTTACAGAGCCCGCAGTAGCAGCAAAACCACGATCGCCAGCGGCACGAGCAGGGAGCAGAAGGAAGCCGGCGGAGGAGGAGAAGAAGGAGAGCCACCGCAAAGATTGGGTAAAGCGCACCACAATGGTCAGTACCAATCTGGTGGTGCCTGTGGTGCTGTGGGGACCCACGGCGCCCACGCACTGCATCTCTAGCGTGTTCCTCTCGGACGATCAGTTCACCCTGGTCACTGGCTGCTACGATGGACAGATCTGCCTTTGGCAAGTGGAGCCCACCACCCTTAAGATGTCGCCGCGCTGCCTCTTGGTGGGCCATTCTGCGCCCGTATTGTGCTTAGTACGTGCCTCGCTTCTGCCAGAGAACAACTTCCTGGTCAGCTCGTCTGAGAACGGAGAGATGTGCACCTGGGACCTCACGGACGGCAAGTGCATGGAGGCAGTCAAGCTGCCCCAGGTGCACACCCAAATCCAGAGCTACCACACCGCCAACAGCGAGGATGTGCGCCTCTTTTGCATTGGCTACTATGCCGAAATCATGGTCATGGACCCATTTAGTCTAGAGGTGATCTACGTGCTCAGCTCGAAAGTCAAACCGGATTGGATATCTGCTATTCACGTACTGCGTCCCATGCGTCGCAAGGATGATGTAGTGTTGGCCATCACCACCACCGGAACCGTGAAGGTCTGGACTCTCACGGGTAACGAAAACAAACACGCGGAGCCCATCTACGAGAACGAATCCAAGGAGATACGTTGCCTGAATGCCATCACCATGAATTGCTGCGCCCAGAACCAGCGCACTGTGCTCTTAGTTTGTACCAAATACTGGCAGATCTATGATGCCGGCGACTTCACCGTACTCTGCTCCGTAATTGCTCCGGCAAGGGAACGTTGGCAGGGCGGCGACTTCATCACCTCCGACCGGGTAATGCTCTGGACAGATGAGGGAAAGGGCTACTTGTACAAGCTGCCCGCCAACTGCATTCCCGACAACAAGGAGTTCCACTCAAAGAGTGTCGTCAGAGATGCACCTTATCTCTACTACGTGTTGCAACACGCGGGTGATAAGGTGCTGTCGTGCCCTCCAGCCATGAAGCTGCTTCAAGGCGCCGGTGGTCAGCACAATCTTCTGCGCGGAGACTCCGAGGGATACATCTCTGTGTGGAATGTGCCGGAGGTACCGTTAGACAATATTAGCATATTGCAGGCCAAACAGATGCCGCCACGAGTCCTTAAGCCACACGTGTGCACTTCGTTGGTCGAGGCGTGGTCCATAATGGATCCACCACCCGTGGGCATCCTGGATCAGCTGTCCCGCATCACAGAGTCGCCAGTGAAGCTTACCTCGAGTATCTATCTGCCACAGCAGAGTCGCCTGGTGATCGGACGCGAGGATGGCAGCATTGTCATAGTGCCAGCCACCCAGACAGTGATGATGCAGCTCCTCGTGGGCATAAAGCAGAACTTCAGCGATTGGCCCTCGCATCAGATCCTCTACGGTCATCGAGGCAGGGTCAACTGCCTGCTGTGCCCCTCGATGATTCATTCGCGGTACGAGAAGTCGCATCTACTCTCCGGCGGCATCGATTTTGCCGTGTGTCTGTGGGATCTGTACAGCGGCAGCTTGCTGCATCGGTTTTGCGTGCATGCGGGAGAGATCACACAACTGTTGGTGCCGCCAGAGAGCTGTAGTCCACGGATCCTGAAATGCATATGTTCGGTGGCATCGGACCATTCCGTTACGCTAGTGTCCCTTCAGGAGCGCAAGTGTGTGACTCTGGCAAGCAGACATCTGTTCCCGGTGGTCACCATAAAGTGGCGTCCTCTGGACGATTTTCTAATCGTAGGCTGCTCCGATGGCAGCGTGTACGTGTGGCAAATGGAAACGGGTCATCTCGATCGAGTGCTACACGGGATGCTGGCAGAGGAAGTGCTTTCAGCTTGCGATGAACAGGCGGAGGACGGCGGCTCGGGAGGCGGCGGCGGTGGTTCCAATGGTGCATCTGCCAGCGAGATGGGCATGGCCAATCCTGCAGTGCATTTCTTCCGTGGCCTGAAGTCGCGCAACATGAATGCAATCCGTCACGCTACCCAACGTGGGATTACACAACTCCAGCAACTTCAGGGTCATAACCAAGGAAACTTCGATTTCCTAATGAAGCACCGCAGCAATCCTCTGGTTATCCAGGGTCTTCGCACTAATCCTAAGGATGCGGAGAGCCACATCCTTTTCTTTGACATCGAGGGACTGATCTTCGAATTGCATAGCGAAGAATACGCACAGATGACACCAGCTACTTTGGAATCACTTGGTGTCCACCTGCAGAATCCCAAAGATGGCAAATCGATGCATTTGGATGCCAGCAAGAAGATCGGTGACTTTTTCAACAAGGTGAAAAACAAGGCCGTGGATGTGGAGAAGATCCTGAAGGACAAAGACAAACATGGACTAGTGCAGAAATTCAAGGAGAAAACTGAGATTGTCGAGAAGAAAGTACAGGCCAAGGTGGAGAGTCTGCAAAAGGCAGTGGAGCCGCACGAGGAGCAGCAGGACCTGAAAAGCAAAATCGCTTCCAAGATGGAGGTTACGCACGTTATGGAGGTAGCCCAGTTACTGCTTTCGCTGCTCCATTCCTGGGGCCTGGATCCCCATCTAGACAAGATGTGCGAGACGCGCTTGGGCCTGCTTAGACCCATTGTGCCCATCTCATACGGAGTGCTTTCCAAGGCCGGCTATATGTCTCTGCTGCTGCCCACATGGCAGAACAACTATGCCATACCGCCGGGCATCCAGCTTCCCTCCAGCTCCAAGAAGCGCCCGCTGCCCGAGGAGTTGCAGCGCTTGGAGCATCTCACGGCTGTTTTTACATCCCGCCTGCATTGGGAGCTCAGCACAACGTTGACCACTAACCATATTCTCGCTCTGGTGGCCATGTCCAACACGCTGCTATCGATGAGCGCTGCCTCCTTTCTGCCCGACAGCGAGAAGCACAAGAAGCTGCAGCGCTTGGCCCAGCGCACGGACTCCACATTGAGCAACGAGGAGGAGCGCGAGGAGCTGATGGCCCACCACATCTCCCAGATCAAGCATGCCTGGAGCCTGCTTGCTACCCACCATTGCTTCCTGTTGCCGGACAAAATTGAGGCCCTGGAGCCGAAGAAATTCAAGCGCCCGCAGGTGGAAATGATGGTCAAGCGCTGGCAGCATCACTGCATAGAGATCAGGGAGGCGGCACAGCAGATCCTCTTGGGCGAGCTTACCCGGATGGGCAAGAAGGGCCGCAAGCAGCTAGTCGAGAGCTGGGCACAGTATCTGCCACTCTACACGCACACGGAGCCCATAGTGGGTGCCCAACAGCAGTTGGCCCTGATAAGTCAGCCGGCGGGCGGAGGAGCTGGCTCGGGATCGGGTGGCAATGGAGGGGTGGGCGTCGGAGGCTCCGGAGGCGTTGGTGCCGGGAGTGGTAGCGGTGCAGGCGGCAGCGTTCCTGGAGGAGATGCCCACCAAGATGAAGACTACGAAGAGGAAGAAGAGGAGATTATACGCAAACCATCCAGTTTGTCGGAGCTGAAGCGCAAGCAAACTACGGCAGTAATCCTATTAGGTGTTATAGGAGCAGAATTTGGCCAGGATATATCCCAGGAGTCGCCAAATCACCGTGGAAGTATTAGCTTGGCCACGGGAGCTAATCTAACCAGTGGAGTTGCTGGCGGCGAGCGCCGGAAATCCAGTGTGGTGGAGGGCTTCGGCATAGCCAACAATCTAGCCCGTCTCACCTCAATGGCCCTGGCCCACCTGCTGTACGCGCCACCGTCTCCGAAGCTACCACAATACACGCCACTGCGCCGGGCAGCCATTGATCTGTTGGGTCGGGGATTCACCGTGTGGGAGCCGTATCTGGATGTATCCAAGGTGCTCCTCGGCCTGCTGGAGATATCGTGCGAGGGTAAAGCAGTGCCAAACCTGAACTATAAACTCCCACTTACCCCGCAAGCGGATGCCTGCCGAACCGCCAGGCACGCTCTGCGTTTGATAGCCACTGCTCGGCCGGCGGCGTTCATCACTACGATGGCGCGCGAGGTAGCCAGGTACAATACGATGCAGCAGAACGCGCAGTCCATCAACACGCCGCTCACCCAGTCCGTTCTGCACAAGGCCAAGGGCGAGATTTTGCAGTGCGTTGAGATGCTGATAGACAAGATGCAGTCGGAGATCGCCGGCCTCCTGGTGGAGGTGATGGACATCGCCCTGCACTGCGTGGACGCCAATGAGCTAAAGAGCCGCGGCCTGGCGGAGCTGTGTCCCGCCATCTGCAAGTTTAACCAGATCTCGCACTGCGCCCAAACACGGCGCATCGCCGTGGGCGCCAACAGTGGCAACCTGGCCATCTACGAGCTGCGGCAGAACAAGTGCCAGATGATACCGGCTCACACGCATCCGATCACCTCGCTGGCCTTCTCGCCGGACGGCAAGTACCTGGTCTCGTACTCTTGCGCGGAGAACCGCCTCTCCTTCTGGCAGACCTCAACGGGGATGTTCGGGTTGGGCCAGTCGCAGACGCGCTGTACGAAGGGCTACTCCACGGCCCCCATTCCGGATGTGTCGCGCCTGAACCCGATGCGCCTGGCCAGGCTGGTGTGGATCAACAATCGCACGGTGACACTTATGCTGGCCGACGGCTCCGAGACGCGATTTAATGTCTAAGATGAAGGAGCGATGCGGGATGTATAGCATGTTATTTGGCAATCAGTGCTGGCTTCAGAGCAGCGCTTCGGATGAGCAAAACGAGGAGGACGAGGCGACGGTAGAGCAGGAGGAGCTGGGGAAGCTGGGGGAGCAGAAACGACAAAACAATAATTATTCGAAAATAAAAGTGCGGTTATGTACGGCGTTTCCCAAAATAGTTAAGGTAATGGAAACGAAGAAAAGCTTAGCAACATTAAGTCGAAACAAAAATGAAAACAAAGCTGGGGCAAACGAGAAGCTAAGCGAAGTTAGTTCAAGCGGAAGTTCACAACACATTTTGTTATTTATTTATATACTTACCCTATATATCTGTATCTGTATCTAATCCGTATCTGTATGTATTTTAATGTATAACACGATTTTAATATGCCTCTTATTCCCTTCCCCCTTCTGCGTCCGTTTTAATTTTTAGTGCCTAACTTTTACCCATACTCTTAGAACACGTGTTTCTGTTTCCGTTTCTGTTTGTCGTTAATTTCCCATGCGGAAAAAAGAAAAACTAAATCCAAATATTAACAAGGTAAACAACAATTAACCAACATCTACACGAGTAAAGCAAAGGAAATGAAAAACGAAAAAAAAAAACAAAGAATGAAAAGCTGTTATTATTATTACACAACTATTATTATTACTATTGTATGGTACTATAATTATTATTATTGATATTTGTTATGCCTAATGTATTGTTATATATATATATCTAAAATAAACCTAAACAAATGTATTGAGCAAAGTAACGAAGCGAAAGCCAACCAACCAGAGCAAAAACGAGGAGTAAATAACTAGTGAACGAACAGTTTTTTTTTACACTACATTATAAACATTGTAACTCCCATATATCTTATTCTTTCGATGTTATATTTCTGCTGAAGCCTGTGTAAAAAGTCTTATTGTCCTGCGATGTTGTATGGGCATTCTGTTCATAAAATGCGAGCCACAGAACACAGACAAAGGATGGCGATACTTGAGGCCTAGGAAGCAATCTGGTCAAGTTGTGAACTGGTCAACTGGTCAACTAGTAAACTGGTCAATTGGTAAACTGGTCAACTAGTAAACTGGTCAACTGGTAACCTGTTAACAGAAATGCCTGCAGCTGTACGGGAGAACTACTTATCCTAACTATAGATATAATGCATACTTATATATATACCCAACTGAATTTGCAATATGTGTTCGTTTACGTATCTAATACAACACAGCAAACACACGTGTACTATGTGAGAGAGTTAATTGAATTTGTGCTTTATTTCAATTGCGAATTATGTGGGGACACGAGCATACTTATATACGAGATCCTTCAATCAAAGTATTACACAAACAAAAGAAACGAAGCAACTACAACAATTATGTACGGAGTATACAACAAATAAAGTCAAAGAAACATCTGCAAATCCCTGTTCCCTTGGCTTTCCATTGGTGGGGGCAACGCTTCTGGAGCTGAAGCACATCTGGCATTGTGGGGTAGCAGTCTTGTGCCGCCTGTCTGCTGTAGCTATTTTCGACCCTTTATTATAGTTGCCTAGATTCTTACCTGATAAACTGTGCTCCTTGAATTTCAGCTCTCCGGTCGCCCAGTGAGAATGTCCGTCGCAGTAGCCCACAAAGGTCGAGGCAGGAAGGCAGCACCTTCCGTAGCCGCTTCTGTAATCCGAAGGCAGTCCGCTCTCAGCGAGGGGGATGAGGCCATTGATGTCCGGCCGATGGAGCATGACGATGAGATCAATCGTGATGATCTCGACGGCGACGAAGAGGAGGAGGAGGAGGAGGAGGAGGAGCACGTCGAGGAAGAGGACGACGACGAAGAGCCGGACAGTAACGAGACCAGCGAACCAGAGGAGCAGGTAGAGCCGCCGGCTTTTAGCCTAGCGACACTGGGTCTCCAACGCGTGGGCAGCGCCCCGCCGCCCAAGCCCAAAATCCAGAAGGCACCCATCCTAACCCTAAACGCCCGTGGAATGCCCGCTCGGATACGTAAGAGAAATCGTCTCTTTTACGACGAGAACATCATCAACGATGACAAGCCGCTGCGCATGAGCTTGGCACCCAAGAAAATGCCAGGCAGGCCACCGCTGTCCGCCGGCGGAGGCTCGGCCCAGAAGATCCCGCTCACCCCATCGAAGGTGCTGAAGAAACGCAAGGGAGTGGTATCCCGCTACATGCGTTCCAGTGAGCAGGGATCCAACTCTAATTCGGCCAGCACTGAGCCGCAGCAGTTGGGCAAGCACAAGAAGACGCCATCGAAGAGCCAGTCGATGGGCAGCAAGCTGGGCACTGGAGGACTGAAGACGGGGCGGGGTGCCCATTTCGTTGGAAAGGGTGGCGCTGCAGCGGCGGCGGCTGCAGCGGCCGCCAAGGAGGAAGCCAGCCAAGCCGAGGCTGCAGCGCTGGCGAACAAGCGATTGGGTCAGTCCATTGGCCTAAGGCTGCGCAATCTCCTCAAACTGCCCAAAGCGCACAAGTGGGCCATAGCCGAGTGGTTCTACTCGTACATTGACAAGCCACTGTTCGAATGCCGCGATGAGTTTATCAACCATGTTAACGAGCTGGCACCCAGGCTGGGCACCCGAAGCCTCAATCGCCACGAGTGGGTGAATATTAGGCGGAGGATGGGCAGGCCGCGGCGCTGCTCCGCCAACTTTTTCAGTGAGGAGCGCAAGGAGTTGGACCGCAAACGTCAGCTGATGCGAACCCTGCAATCGCGGAAACCAGGCGAGTTCAAGGACTCTATGCTGTTGTCGGGCATGCCGGAGAAGATACCGATGCCACTGCCGCTGGGCACCAAGGTCACTGCCAGATTAAGAACTCCCCAGGACGGGATATTTGCGGGCACAGTGGCCGCCTACGACTCACTGAACGCCATGTACCGAGTGACCTTCGAACGACCCGGCTTGGGCACCCATGCCATCCCAGATTACGAGATTGTGTCGGAGAACTTTCACGAGATGCTGCCGCTGCACAGCTTCACCAAAGACTTCCGGCCGAACCTGATGAGCGTCTATCAAACGAATAATCTCGGCTTCACAACCAATCTGGGCTTCACGGCAAATCTTACCAACAACTATCTGCAGAAGAAGGAAAAGGGAGTCGGCGGTGCAGGAGCGGCAGCGGGAGCGGGAGCGGGATCATACTACTCCAGACCGCAGAAGCACCTTGTCAGCAATAATGCGGCTGCGCGAAATGCGCTCAGCATGAAGCTGAACAAGAGTGATCCCCTGCTGGGTCAGGATTCGGTGGGCGAGAGCCCCATACGACAGCAGTTGGCGCGGCACCACGCTTACCCCAGCTCGCTGCTGGAGCATCTGGTGCGCCTGGAGAAGTACATTGCGGTAAAGGCGGATCGAATCCAGCGGCTAAACAAAATGAACGCCAGCGCCGAGCTGGCCATGGGCGATATGATAAGTCAGGACGAGAATGGTGATCGCCATCGCCGACAGATTGCCGACAACTTCCAGCGGCAGTATGCCTTCAATATCGTGTCCATCGAGCGCATCAACGGCGAGCTCATGTTCGAACTCACCAAGGTGCAGGAGATGTCCTCCAGCCTGACACGCAATCCCAATGTCCAGGCCATGATTTCGCCAACATATTTGCGCGAAGAGTGCCGAGCCAAGGCGTCGCAAACGGTCGACGACATAAACAAGGGGATGGTAAAAAATACGCGGATGATAAAGCTGCTGAAGAACCTCACCACGCTGCTGATCGTAACCCAGAATCTCGGCGGCGACTGCGATGTGAGCGAGGTTAACAAGGTGCTCGAAGGCTGCCTCGAGGAAGTACGCAGCAATCTTTTCTGCAGCGAGAACAGCGAGGTGTTCCAGAAGAGTGTCCAGGTGCGACTGGAGTACATAGCCATGGATATTAGCAGAAGTTTGGAGGAGAGCAGCTTGAATCGCGTGGCGGATGGCAACGATGATATCAAATCGCTGAAATCCGAGGAGGAGATGGATGAGAACCATGTACAGGATCACAAGCATGGGGAGGATGAGGAGCCCGCCGCAGACACCTCCAAGACGAAAGCTAAAGGCAGGCCAAAAGAGGCTGAAGCGAAGAAGGGCCACAATAACCAGCACACGGACACAGACACAGAGAAGGAAGAGAAGCTAGAATCCGACGGGTCGGAAAATGCAGAGTATGTTAACCAGCAGCGACCAGACGATGATCAGGACACAGAGGAGCAGCACCTGGACCGCGAGGAGCAGTCACTCAATCCGGCTGTGACCGAGGACACGCAGATCACCATCGAGTCGATGAAGGAATCCGATGAGGAGTTTCAATCGGCCGCCGAAACCGAGGAGGACGATATGGTCGGCTTGGGGCCCCTGATCATGGAGGGAGAAGAGGAAGAGCGGTTTGTGTACGAGAAGGAACTGTAGAGGATTACCCGATGGCAAATTATGCATCTTTCTGGACGTTAGCCTAGGAACATGATTAAGTAAAAAGTTTTGAATAACGCGTTGCAATAGGAAAAGTAACAAAACAATCCGCATAGCTTTCTGACTCTATCGTTTTTTTTTTTTTAAATAACTGCGACTTTGTAGGAAAGTGTATTTACAAATTCAAAGAAAGCATTGGTACTTTGAAATGTTTTTAAGTATGGCATTGACTTTGTAAGAATTTATGAAAGTCTTAAATAAACAGGACAAAAAAAGTGACGGTTTTTCATTGGCTTGTGCGCAAATCCCTCTTTATTTAGGACTGGAATGCCATGACCTCCCAGATGATTCCAAGGCTTGAATGCCATTCGATAGGGAATTTTATTACGAGTTCAATATTTAGTTTAAAAAACAGTACTCTTTTGGTCAGCAAATTATCCCAGCTAATTTAAAATTTAAAAATCAGGATTAAAGAAAAACTATGTACATCCCGGGGGTGTAAAACCATAACTTGGTCAAACAGCTTCACACAGCCATAAAAAATACTGTTTTGAACAGCTAGTGATCCCAACTAACGATCCCTATCACTTTCCTGCTGATTTTGAAAGAATAATTTTTTTCCAAAAATTTTGCATTTCTTGTAAGGGGCAACATCATAATTTTTTGCGAAAAATGGCCAAAATTCAACATTTTAAACCTTGAATGCTATTCGATGGCAAATTTTATAGCGAATTCAACGAGGTATGACATTCCACAATCAGACGAATATTTTAGCTGCTGTGAACAAAAAACTGATAATATTTAATCAAAAAATCAGGTTTAAAGAAAAACTGTACATCCCGGGGGTGTAAAACCATAACTTGGTCGAACAGCTTCACACAGCCATAAAAATTACTGTTTTGAACAGCTAGTGATCCCAACTAACGATCCCTATCACTTTCCTGCTGATTTTGAAAGAATAATTTTTTTCCAAAAATTTTGCATTTCTTGTTAGGGGCAACATCATAATTTTTTGCGAAAAATGGCCAAAATTCAACATTTTAAACCTTGAATGCTATTCGATGGCAAATTTTATAGCGAATTCAACGAGGTATGACATTCCACAATCAGACCAATATTTTAGCTGCTGTGAACAAAAAACTGATAATTTTTAATCAAAAAATCAGGTTTAAAGAAAAACTATGTACATCGCATTTTTGTAAGGGGTAACATCATAATTTTTTGCGAAAAATGGCCAAAATTCAACATTTTAAACCTTGAATGCTATTCGATGGCAAATTTTATAGCGAATTCAACGAGGTATGACATTCCACAATCAGACCAATATTTTAGCTGCTGTGAACAAAAAACTGATCATTTTAAATCAAAAATTCAGGTTTAAAGAAAAACTATGTACATCGCATTTTTGTAAGGGGTAACATCATAATTTTTTGCGAAAAATGGCCAAAATTCAACATTTTAAACCTTGAATGCTATTCGATGGCAAATTTTATAGCGAATTCAACGAGGTATGACATTCCACAATCAGACCAATATTTTAGCTGCTGTGAACAAAAAACTGATCATTTTCAATCAAAAAATCAGGATTAAAGAAAAACTATGTACATCGCATTTTTGTAAGGGGTAACATAATTTTTTGCGAAAAATGGCCAAAATTCAACATTTTAAACCTTGAATGCTATTCGATGGCAAATTTTATAGCGAATTCAACGAGGTATGACATTCTACAATCAGACCAATATTTTAGCTGCTGTGAACAAAAAACTGATAATTTTTAATCAAAAATTCAGGTTTAAAGAAAAACTATGTACATCGCATTTTTGTAAGGGGTAACATCATAATTTTTTGCGAAAAATGGCCAAAATTCAACATTTTAAACCTTGAATGCTATTCGATGGCAAATTTTATAGCGAATTCAACGAGGTATGACATTCCACAATCAGACCAATATTTTAGCTGCTGTGAACAAAAAACTGATCATTTTCAATCAAAAAATCAGGTTTAAAGAAAAACTATGTACATCGCATTTTTGTAAGGGGTAACATAATTTTTTGCGAAAAATGGCCAAAATTCAACATTTTAAACCTTGAATGCTATTCGATGGCAAATTTTATAGCGAATTCAACGAGGTATGACATTCCACAATCAGACCAATATTTTAGCTGCTGTGAACAAAAAACTGATAATATTTAATCAAAAAATCAGGATTAAAGAAAAACTATGTACATCCCGGGGGTGTAAAACCATAACTTGGTCAAACAGCTTCACACAGCCATAAAAATTACTGTTTTGAACAGCTAGTGATCCCAACTAACGATCCCTATCACTTTCCTGCTGATTTTGAAAGAATAATTTTTTTCCAAAAATTTTGCATTTCTTGTAAGGGGCAACATCATAATTTTTTGCGAAAAATGGCCAAAATTCAACATTTTAAACCTTGAATGCTATTCGATGGCAAATTTTATAGCGAATTCAACGAGGTATGACATTCCACAAACTGACCAATATTTTAGCTGCTGTGAACAAAAAACTGATAATTTTTAATCAAAAAATCAGGTTTAAAGAAAAACTATGTACATCGCATTTTTGTAAGGGGTAACATCATAATTTTTTGCGAAAAATGGCCAAAATTCAACATTTTAAACCTTGAATGCTATTCGATGGCAAATTTTATAGCGAATTCAACGAGGTATGACATTCCACAATCAGACCAATATTTTAGCTGCTGTGAACAAAAAACTGATCATTTTCAATCAAAAAATCAGGATTAAAGAAAAACTATGTACATCGCATTTTTGTAAGGGGTAACATAATTTTTTGCGAAAAATGGCCAAAATTCAACATTTTAAACCTTGAATGCTATTCGATGGCAAATTTTATAGCGAATTCAACGAGGTATGACATTCCACAATCAGACCAATATTTTAGCTGCTGTGAACAAAAAACTGATAATATTTAATCAAAAAATCAGGTTTAAAGAAAAACTATGTACATCGCATTTTTGTAAGGGGTAACATCATAATTTTTTGCGAAAAATGGCCAAAATTCAACATTTTAAACCTTGAATGCTATTCGATGGCAAATTTTATAGCGAATTCAACGAGGTATGACATTCCACAATCAGACCAATATTTTAGCTGCTGTGAACAAAAAACTGATAATTTTTAATCAAAAAATCAGGTTTAAAGAAAAACTATGTACATCGCATTTTTGTAAGGGGTAACATCATAATTTTTTGCGAAAAATGGCCAAAATTCAACATTTTAAACCTTGAATGCTATTCGATGGCAAATTTTATAGCGAATTCAACGAGGTATGACATTCCACAATCAGACCAATATTTTAGCTGCTGTGAACAAAAAACTGATCATTTTCAATCAAAAAATCAGGATTAAAGAAAAACTATGTACATCGCATTTTTGTAAGGGGTAACATCATAATTTTTTGCGAAAAATGGCCAAAATTCAACATTTTAAACCTTGAATGCTATTCGATGGCAAATTTTATAGCGAATTCAACGAGGTATTACATTCCACAATCAGACCAATATTTTAGCTGCTGTGAACAAAAAACTGATAATATTTAATCAAAAAATCAGGATTAAAGAAAAACTATGTACATCCCGGGGGTGTAAAACCATAACTTGGTCAAACAGCTTCACACAGCCATAAAAATTACTGTTTTGAACAGCTAGTGATCCCAACTAACGATCCCTATCACTTTCCTGCTGATTTTGAAAGAATAATTTTTTTCCAAAAATTTTGCATTTCTTGTAAGGGGCAACATCATAATTTTTTGCGAAAAATGGCCAAAATTCAACATTTTAAACCTTGAATGCTATTCGATGGCAAATTTTATAGCGAATTCAACGAGGTATGACATTCCACAATCAGACCAATATTTTAGCTGCTGTGAACAAAAAACTGATAATTTTTAATCAAAAAATCAGGTTTAAAGAAAAACTATGTACATCGCATTTTTGTAAGGGGTAACATCATAATTTTTTGCGAAAAATGGCCAAAATTCAACATTTTAAACCTTGAATGCTATTCGATGGCAAATTTTATAAGGAATTCAACGAGGTATGACATTCCACAATCAGACCAATATTTTAGCTGCTGTGAACAAAAAACTGATCATTTTAAATCAAAAATTCAGGTTTAAAGAAAAACTATGTACATCGCATTTTTGTAAGGGGTAACATCATAATTTTTTGCGAAAAATGGCCAAAATTCAACATTTTAAACCTTGAATGCTATTCGATGGCAAATTTTATAGCGAATTCAACGAGGTATGACATTCCACAATCAGACCAATATTTTAGCTGCTGTGAACAAAAAACTGATCATTTTCAATCAAAAAATCAGGATTAAAGAAAAACTATGTACATCGCATTTTTGTAAGGGGTAACATAATTTTTTGCGAAAAATGGCCAAAATTCAACATTTTAAACCTTGAATGCTATTCGATGGCAAATTTTATAGCGAATTCAACGAGGTATGACATTCCACAATCAGACCAATATTTTAGCTGCTGTGAACAAAAAACTGATAATTTTTAATCAAAAAATCAGGTTTAAAGAAAAACTATGTACATCGCATTTTTGTAAGGGGTAACATCATAATTTTTTGCGAAAAATGGCCAAAATTCAACATTTTAAACCTTGAATGCTATTCGATGGCAAATTTTATAGCGAATTCAACGAGGTATGACATTCCACAATCAGACCAATATTTTAGCTGCTGTGAACAAAAAACTGATAATTTTTAATCAAAAAATCAGGTTTAAAGAAAAACTATGTACATCGCATTTTTGTAAGGGGTAACATCATAATTTTTTGCGAAAAATGGCCAAAATTCAACATTTTAAACCTTGAATGCTATTCGATGGCAAATTTTATAGCGAATTCAACGAGGTATGACATTCCACAATCAGACCAATATTTTAGCTGCTGTGAACAAAAAACTGATAATTTTAAATCAAAAATTCAGGTTTAAAGAAAAACTATGTACATCGCATTTTTGTAAGGGGTAACATCATAATTTTTTGCGAAAAATGGCCAAAATTCAACATTTTAAACCTTGAATGCTATTCGATGGCAAATTTTATAGCGAATTCAACGAGGTATGACATTCCACAATCAGACCAATATTTTAGCTGCTGTGAACAAAAAACTGATAATATTTAATCAAAAAATCAGGATTAAAGAAAAACTATGTACATCCCGGGGGTGTAAAACCATAACTTGGTCAAACAGCTTCACACAGCCATAAAAATTA